AAGATAATGGAATTTTCCTTCTAGAAGTATGGTATGACGAAAAACCGGAAATTGTTATTCCAGAAAGAATACAAAAATTTAAGGAGTTTGTTGATCAAGCATCCAAAAGTTTCGATCCCCTATAATCAATAATCTATCTTTTAATCTTATCAACCAACCCGGAACATGATCATCAAAACAGGATAACAATGTTCACACCAACGTGACTTATCACATGTCTACCATGTCTACTGCGTCATATATAAAATGGTCTCACTTTATCAAGATTCAAGACTGATTGACTGATTATTCTTCTTACTCATCTCATTCTCAAAAAATGAATATCATTTATATTTGTTGTTTTCTTCTTTCTCTTCCTTTTATCATTCTTACATCCTTTCTGTGGCTTCCGACCATTTTTATATTAGTTATTTTTAATTTACTTATACAACTTCTCAGGTATTATTAGATAAATAAAGCCAAAACATATTACTATACCATCTGATATACCAACTTTTTATTCACAGCTTCTTTTGTAGTACCTCAGCCTCGAACAATACTTCAGAAGACACTCCCTTGAACAGTACCTCAGAAGACACTCCCTTTAACAGCATTTTGAAAGACATCCCCTCAACATGCGAAATTCCTTCATGTTTCGAAGGTTTAGAAGAACAGTGGGCAGATCTCAATAAAAACGGAAGAGGTTTGTTTATTATTATTTTTGAATATAGCTAGTTATCTGTATTAAAGGCTATATACTACATAATAGATTTTCGAAAAGAAATCTGGTTCAAGACACATATTGATCAAGCAAAAAGTAAGTCTTTAATTTATTATTGTTTTACCACGATAATACTTTTAACAATTTATTTTTTTGCAGAGGAAAATATCACTCCTTTGGAGCATCTTGCAGACTTTTTAAGAAGAGCATACCAAGAAGAAGAGGAAGATTTACGGGAAGAGGTTCTATCTGAAGAGGACAACGAAGATTCTAACTACCAAGAGTTTGAATTATGTCTCACCGACGAATCATCATCGGACGAGGACCCCATCGACAGATAACTCTAAGCAGGAGAGCTCTTTCTATAGTGAATGATCTGAGCAAATACAGAAAGGCACTTGTAATGCGTGCGTTAATTGATATTTCTTGCGCGACTACAAATCAGTTATCTTCACGTATGTTCCCCCAAGTTCAAGGTCAGGTCAGATCAAAAGTCATTTATCTAAATGTTAATCAGACACGTTATGTAGATGTTAGATTTATATTTAGACGCGGAATCCAAATTATAGATGTATTTACTGGATAATTAATTGCTATTATGTATAAAAAAGATTAAAAAAATTCATGCATTGATTTTTCTATAAAAAATATCCTACTAAAATAAAAAAATTCAGGATAACACATGGGAAAAGTCCCATAATTATATTTATTTCTTTTATCTGTATTAATAAATCGAGTCTTTACATTTGTCACGAACATTGAATAATTCCCATCTTGTACAAAGTATTGGCATCCAAACTTGGATCGCGCACTACTGAGCTGAGATGTTACAATTATATTCCGGAAAATCAAGTCCAGATACCTGGAAGCATCTCTTGAAATTCCCAGACAAAAGTATAGCAGTAGTGAATAATTAGGTGTTCATGCCGAATAATCATGTGAGATCGATCACCTGAAATGCGCAAGTACGATATCGGGAAAATTCTTGCCGAGATTTTTGACATATAATGCGCAGTAAGACATCATCGGTTCTTATCTGATTATTATGATTAATTGTAACTTAAATTATATTGTAACAATATGTTGCAATATAGTGTTATAACAATAAATAATTGTTGCAATTAAAAATAATATGTTGCAATTAACAACAAAAAGTTGCAATTTTTACAAGGAACCGCAAT